TGGAGGTAGAGCTACTACGGACCCCTCTGTTTCTTAGTTGTATTTGTGTACCTGTTGATGGGAGGTCACTAGAGGTTTCTCTTTTTGGTGTAGGTGCTAAAATGGCTTCAGGATGGTGAGCAAACTACACAAATTGAATCTCAGGTTTTGACTGACAACAGCTGACTTTGGTTTATTAGTGATATTTCGTAGCAGTTGTGGACTTTCAGTGTTTGGTACATGAATGCATTGTTACTTCTACATACTTAAGAACCCTTGTAAGTCTTTGGAAGGCTTTAAATGTTAATTATGGTCAATTACTTTTCTTGACAATTAAATGTAAAAATCCAGAAGTAGAACTTAACAAAGTGATAGTTTTAAAGCAATATTTTCTATCCTGTTCATGTGTCCTTCGCTTAAAGATCAAAGCTTTCTTCTGTTTTAAAAGAAAAACAGGGTCAAGCCAGTCAAGAGAAGGAAGTTAAGTTTTCAACCACTGTTTCTGTAGGCACTAAACTTGGAAACAAAAGCCAATTTCCCACCTTCCTGTGTGTGTGTCATTCCGAAATTACATGTTCATCACAAATTAATGGGCCTCCTCTACAAATGATATCTTTTTGTTGTTGCTCATTTGAAAATACAATTTCCTTCCAAATTTTTTTATGTGACCAACTATAGTGTTTCATTATTTTTCAGTTTTATTAAAAATACAGCAAAAATATTTTATAAAATGTTTCAAAGTAACATGTAAATTATGGAAACTCATTACTATATATGGTCATTGATTACCACGCCATTTTTGAGACCATTGTTCCCTAAAGAAAATATAACCTGAAGGTCAAGCCTATATAGTACTGCAACTGAAACATAAATTCCTGCTGCCCTAGAGGATAACACCCATAGGAATGTGTGAAAGTTATCTGATAAAGAAAAGTTTATTTTCTGTTGCCCTCATATAGGGTTATTTTTACTGAAAAGTAGTTTTCAGTTTGTGATACTGAAAGAAAAAGCATAGCACCTTTCCTCTCTTCCATACTTTTTAAAAAATGTAAGTTAGAGTCCTACATTAATCTGGAGCAGAGCTTTTTTCTTTTAAATTATCTCCTAAATTTTATGTTACTGGAAGATGAAAATGAAGCAACTACTAGCAGTTTGGCCCACCCAAAATGTATTCTACTCTTCATTTGTTAGGTAAAATAAAACCTATCTCCTTAAAGTGCCATTGGTGTTTAAGAATTACTTGTCTGTAACCTATTAGGTGTGTCCACTTGTTGGACTTCACAGGGAACAAGCTGATAGTCAGACCTGGTGTTGGTAACAAGCCAGTCCACACAGTCCTGCAAAGCTGGACATGCTCCTCAGACAAGTGACCTCCTACCTGAAATGATTTGGGTAGGAATGCAACTAGAAAACATGAAAGAAATAGAGATTTTGAATTCCATAATAGTGTGTTCAGCAAAAGACTGATGGGTATTTCACAAACTAAAGCCTAGTATCATGTGGGGAAATAATCTTTGAAATCCTCAGCACAGACCAACTAATGTTTGAACTCGACAATTTTCTAAGGAAACCATAGCTCTGTATGGCCATCTTATTCATCATTTATTGCCAGTCCCTAGAAGCTCTCAACATTTACTGTAACAACCATTTGTAAAAATAGGTGAGTCATAAATTTCTCTAATCTAAGTTTAAACTTTGTTCTGCTGTAAAGTTTGTGTTTTCAGCTTTGTGCTGAGTGCTTAGAGAAGCTTAGACTGTAAGATAAAAGTGGAGACATTCAATTGCTGTTCTCAATGAGTTTGGTCTTGTTGTGAAGTCTAGTCAGGCATGAAATAACTAGAGAACAGTACCTTGTAGGAGTTGTCTGCAGTGTGTTAAAGATTGTCAGATCTGTCTGTGCTAAAGGTAGAAAGATTTCTATGAATGAGATAGAGAAACTTCTAGACAAACGTTAGTCTTAAGTAAGTCTGACATTTGTGTTGATCAAACTGGAGAACATTTGTCCCAACTGGACATTCAGGTGTTATTGTGTATAATATGATGGTGAAGCATAAGAATGCAGATGCAGGATATTCTATAGAGAAGTTATAAATAATTGTTAACCACTAAAATTCAAGTGCTTTTTCTTATCACAGTTCCTAAAAATGGGGAAGCTGAAATGGACTTCCTGTGGAGAAAAGCTGCTCCATGGCAGCGGCCCCTCACTCCACCTTTGTATAGCAGCAGTAGTGAGTGTCTGCTAAGTACCACTGCTGTACTTGCGATGAGACACTAACTATGCATCATGGCATAGTCCTTTGCCCCAGGTTTACCAGCAGGTCAGGAAGTGGAATTACAGACAGACTAAGCCAGAGACCCCACATTTCCAGACAGGCTTTTTGTCCTATACATTATTTAATCTTCCTTTGAGTCAGCTGCCGCATTTTTCAAATTGGAAGACAAATATAAAAATAAAACTTGTAATTGTGAATTTCCAGCTTCTCTTGAAAACTAGGAAGGTCTAGCATCACTGATACCATCCATTTTGGGAGCTCAGGGTGACTGGCCCTTTGCTGGAGGCACTCACCCCAGCGTTCCAAATCCCACCCCACCAGCTGGAGACACTTAAATTCCTCCCGAGTTGTATTGAGCCTCAAATAACTGTTTCTCCATCTCCATCATCGTCTCTTCATCTCTTGAGACTGTATTTCCATGTACTTTAATTTAATTTGTTTTCTGCCCATTTTGCTTCTTGAATCCCCCGCTTTATTATTATTGTTGTTGTTGTTGTTATTTTAAATATCATTTATAGTAACTTAGGGGTTACGCTATTTTACTTTTCCCACAGGTGGTGTTATGGTTTTGTTTGATGATTAATTGATTGATGGCTTTTGCTGGCTTTTGTATATGCTCACATCTCTTTTGTCATTTTTGTCATCAGGGCAGTGAATGGGATTGAGGGTTTCAGATGTCGGTGTGGATGAGTTGGGATGGGGCTGACTATTGTCAGTGGTGCCCTGATGGTCCTTCTTTCTGGTGGAGGACTTAGTAGCCCCTATACCCTCACTGAGGGTACAACAAGTAATCCCCTGTCCCAAGGAATGGGAAAGGGAAGTGCAGACCAGAATGCCTGCTCTTCTGTTGTCTTTACTGAGGACACAGTCTGTTCAGAGCACCCCAGCTCCTCCTAAGTTTCCCTGTCTTTCAAGGGAGTCAGCCTTTACACACCCTCTGCTGCCCTTGCACGAGGGCTCCTGACTGGGCTGACTGCCCTGCCACCAACATCCCCTGCTGCAGACCACAACGCCAATGTTCTTCTCTCCAGCTGCCACCTCTCTGATGAAGTAGAGTCTCCTCAATGCCAACCCTGTTGAAGGCTGCCCAGGTTCCTGCTGTCCAAAGGATAATCAAGTCCCACTCCTGTTCAGGGCACTGTTCCTAAGCAGTGTTCCCCAGGCTCCCTGCTCCTATAGCTGCACTTCATGTGGACCAGGCCCTGCCGTTGCCTCTCCTAGGACCTGCCAGTCAGGACAGCTGCTTCATTGCTGGGGCCACCCTCTAAGGGATGTTGCTCCTAGTGTGTGCTATAATCATCCACTTTTCCTTCAGGAGTTGTTAGCTTTGTTCTGTTTCAATCTTAACTGTGACTATATAAAGGGGGTAACCTGATGTCTTCCCTCTGCCGCCATATTACTGCTTCCTTATCTTCCTTCTCTTAAGGGTAGGTATTATTCTGTGAATTGAGTCATGACAAGACTGAGGTTTCCAGGCAGAATTAGGGCCCAGATTCTGTCTGAGGAGAAATAAAAGGTGTTCATGGTCAGGAATCTGGAAGGTTTTTAGCAGCAGAGCTGAGAGTAAAGAGCCTAAAATCAGTCAACATGGGCTAAGAATTCAGATTTAGAGTTTAGATAAGAGCTGAGGACCTAGCAAGGACTTAGAGTACCCAGAATGTGACCTAGAGTCCAGAAAAAGGCTTGAAATTGGGGAAACCCTTTATTTCCTGCCCAGGGCAACAGCCTGCTTCAAAGTGGGCAGGGCTTGAGCCTATGTTCACCGCTCTCCCTCCAGTAAATGCACAGAGCATGTTTCCTTCACCATTGAAATAGCGGGAGCATGCCATCAGCTTGATCCAGATTAACTTAACCAGATTTCATACCATTACAGAGTAATAATTTGCTAATTAACATACGTTATAAATTGTTTTTTAAATAATTTTCATTTTCTTCTTAGGGTATATTTGTATATTCCTAATGATAATGAATAATCACCTCTTTTAAAGTAGAAATTCTATTTTGTTCTTGCTATAATCTCCCAAAGTTTTTTAGAATCATCCTTCTCTCCAGATAGACATCTTTTTTTAAAGATAGTCACAAAACTCTCTCTTTAGATGCTACCATGATACCATGATGTACCTGAGCTTAAATAGTAGCCAAATTATTAGCCTTCACCAGTCCCTCAGTAAGGGATTGATGAAGGGAACAGATAAGGAAGGTTAAATCTATGTATCCATGTCTTCCTGTTCTTATTAATAATAAAATTTTATTGTGTTGGGATTCGAATAGAGAAATAATAGTCATTTTTCTGCATTCAGAAATAGAGGACGTAACCTATACTTCAGCCAGCAGTTTTCAATTTCTTAGCAGTGACAATTTAAGTAAATTTCATATGGGTTGTGGAGATCTAACTTTGTTATGATTGACAATATAAAATTAGTCTTTTCTGCTGTTAAGATTATCTAGCATTCCTATCAGGTGGAATGTGGAATGAGATTGCACAGCTGTGGATTTGAGCATCATTAAAGTCTTTAAAGGGTTAAAAGTTACTTCCTCTGATGGATTTTAAACTGCCACATACACACAAAGTTTTTCAAACTGCCCCTTTTTACATCTTTGTCAAGAGACGGTCTGGTTGTTGCATTTTTATGTCTAGATTATATTACAGATATATTTCAATAAACTCCGAAGAACTGCTGTAGATTCTAGAAGCTGACCGTCTGTGCTTAAATAAACATTTCATGCAGCACCTGTTTTATTTTATAGGTTCTATAATCACAGTGACATTCTGAAAAAAGACCTTGAAGCCGACAGAGCAACTGTCCTTCACCAGCTTCCCAGAATCTTCCCTGGGGTTGGAAGCAGTAAAAAACAAATCAGGTATTAACTTTCATGAAATTGCTGCTTGGGATGCAAGTTGGGATGGTTGTTCTTGTTCCCAGATGCTTCCAAATGAAAAGAATCACAGAGTCGCAAAACACTAGTCCACAGTCAACACTAGTAGTCACTTTGTAGTCATCACTTTAACTTTTTTATGAACCTCACCATCTGCTTCTTTATATTTGTTTCTGATTGTTAATTGCCTATAACCCTTCTTATAGCAGTGTTCTAAGGACTTACTGAGAGGGGAGAGGATACCTAATATATTAGTAGAGAATAACCCAGTATATAATTCAGGGGTAGCTTTACCTAGCTGGATGTCTTTGGTAGTTCAAACTCTGTCGAGGACCAGCCCCAACTTTTGTTTTTAGTCCTGAAGAGGGTGGAGAAAGTGTCGGCGCTGAGGTTCTGTAAGAGAGAAAATGAGAGACAGAACACTCCAGAGATTGGAGAAACTGCACCATTTATTGCCCGGACAGCACAGGGTTTTTATATGGTAAAATTTGGCATCATTTCTCGATACCCATCATGTCCACATATTTTGATCACACAAAAGAACAATATGAAGCATTACATGATTAATTACATTTCTGGGAAAGAAGGTGAAACTTTACAGTCATATTTACTATATCAAGGTGCTAATTTATAATTGATCATATCTCAGAAAGCCATACTCAATCATTAAAGACATCACTATAAAAAAAAAAGTTACTTGTTATCTAAGAAACATTAAATTACCATTACTAAGACTTACAAAGGTCAATATTGTTTCTTCATTGTAAAGCCATTTTAGTCTTGCCTTTCTAAGCAATGGATTCTTGTGGCCTAACAAATCAAGTAGTTACATGTCTTAATTCTTTTAGTAAGGCAGGAGTGGAGACAATGCACCTGTTCACCTTAAAGGGAACTTACGTGAATGTTCACCTAGAAGGGTACTTCCTTGAAGCCAGCTTCACCCATTCCCCGCGAGCAGGTCCGTGACCAGGTCAAGTGGTATGAGCGAAACTAGGTGCAACAAAATCCCAGATAAGTGCCTCAATTTCCAAGGTTATGTTAGTGAAGCAGGTCCCCCAATCCAAAAGATAGGATGCATACTTCTTGCACCAATAAGAATTTGGAGCTTGTTCAAAACACTTAGGACTCAGTGGGTCAGGAATCTGTGGATGTGACCCAGCCACCTAAGTTTTAATGATCCCTTAAAAGTGCTCTACTCCCCCAAACTTGAAAGCCAGCACTCCAAGGATATGCTTTAAATGGCCGTAAAGCTGGGACAAGAGAAAAGGTTAATTGTAAGGTAGTTGGGACATGTGAGCCATGATTCTGGTACATCCTTCCCAACCGCAAACCAAAAATATTTTTTATACTCTCAGCCCACTTTATGCAGTCTGGGCTCTTTTCATGGCCTCAGGAACTTTGTGGCATCTGGACTATTCAATGAATATATACATTATAAGTGGTATATATATATATATATATATATATATATATATATATATATCTGGTACCTGGTAGGTGCCTAATTCATATTGTATAATTATCAGTATCCTAAACCTGGCTTTTATTTTGGGGACTAACTATATTTCCTTTTATTAAAATATGTCCCACCATTTACTAACAGAGAACAAATTGTCAGCAGGTGAGTATATGAGAAAGTGCACCTGAAAGGACCTTACTTGACTGAGAGAGTGAAAAGGTCTTTGGGTCTGATTATCTTATATCCAGCCTCATATTCTTTCCCTTTAATGTGCCATGTAGGCTATTTTATGGCAATGACTTGTTTTAGAGTAGAATCCAGTATATGTTGGACTCCATCAAGGCCTGGGAGAAGACAGGATAATGGTCTTTAAAAGGATCTTGTCACAAGAAAATGAGTTCAGTCATATGCTGCCGTTTTTTTTTTTTGTTTGTTTTTTGTTTTTTTTTAAAGATTTATTTATTTGTACATACAGAACTGGGGTACAGGCCAGAGGCTCAGGAGCGGCGAGAGGCTTCACCAGAGACAGAGCGGGGAGCAGAACAGGCAGATGGACGAAGTACACTGCTGAGGGGAGCAGCGGGCGGGTCAGGAGAGGTCTGCCGCGCCATGTGGTCTCCCCCGGGGCGGGCGGGAATCGAACTCATGCGGAAGTGGCTTTAGCTTCCCAGCGCTGTGCTTTAACACGCTGCGCCACCAGGGAGGGCCCATATGCTGCCGTTTTACAGGTCACATAATAAGGTTCGCAAGTCCTGAGAGTGTTTATGTATCTGTACTAATGATATAAAAGCTATGAAAAATGCTGAAAACAATCTTCCTAGTCAGTTCCTTTTCAGCTAAGATAATGCAAGAAAATCTTACCTTGTGAAATAAAAAATGTAGTCTTAAAATGCTCCTTTATAAGGGGGTTGAAGCCAGCTTGGGAGGAGTCTATTCTCTTGGTAACTTGGGTGGTTCTGAGTTGTAAGGCTTTTTAATCAGAGCCCCCCTTTCTTTCTCCTTGCCTTTTATATCTTGACATACTGTTTGGCATAAACCACAGTTGTGGTGTGTGGCATAGAAAGCTTATTATATATATTTATAATGTGCTGTGCAAGATGCCTTGCTAGACTAAATGATTCATTGTGTGACTCTCTTAACCTAGGTTGCCAAACTGTGGGTGACAAGATATGATAGCTACACCTTCTAGACTAACGTTCCTTATAGTTTCTCAACATACATAATAAATACAGCATTGATTTCCATTATGAAAGGTTGTATTTTATGTGACGATCTACAGTTATTATAAGTCAGCCTTTCATAAGAAACAATCCTTCTTTATGACCAACACAAATTTTAAAATTAGTGTCGAGCTTTCAAGACTGTCTCTTTGCTGCAATCATTTTTTAAAGTTAGATAAAGAGGTCAGGAATAGTTACTATTGTCAATGTTATGTTCTGTTACATTTAGATTTGCCCTGTGTTGTGACTAGGGCTGCTGTTTAATGTATGTTGATTGTCATGGGTTCATCTTTAGCCTTGGAAACAGTGCCATGTTTTTATAGGACCTTTGAGAGATAAGCAGTCAGGTCTTTATAGATTCTTTCTCACATGTTTTGATCAGGGCATCAAGCTCCCTCCTCCCTCCTTATTTTAACTACCTTTTGTCCCTCAATACCCACGTGTTACTTCTGAGTGCTCCCTTAGGTGAAATATTCCTGTCTGCTTTGTGATTTCCCTTGGATGGAAGCAACTTTCTGGTCAGTTTGATAAACCATTCTAGAAATACAGTTTGGGAAAGAATGATCTACCTTTCTTCTTTATTTATTAAAGACTCTAATGTCATATAATTCTGAGCTAAGCAGAGTGGCAAGGCTTCAGCAGGTTATGCACTCCTTAAAGCTTACTCAGTAGAAGTCCTGACCAAACAATGGCACTCATCATGTCTCTTTTACTTGAATTCATCTGTAGAATGGGGCACATGCCCCATAGCATACTCTAAAAAAGTGTGAAGACATGTGCATTCCTGATTGCAAAAACAGAACATCTTAAAAGAAAAAAGAACAAAACCATTCTTAGCCTCATTGTTGTTTTTTATTTTTTTATTTTTTTGCTATATCAGGAATTACATGTTCAAAGACCTTCATCTGAAAGGTTTACTATTAGTAGGAAGAGAACCAAGTCTTTTTAACTTATAATGAATTATTAAAATGGTTCTGTCATTTAGACTAATTGATAGATAATCATGTTCATTATTGCCTTCTGGAAAACATCGTAACATAAAAGTGATTACTTAGTAAGTAGTTCTATTTATCTGAAAGCCATAATGAAACTGCTCATTATTTTATTTATTTCCAGGTGCAGATGATTGTCTCTGTTATGGCTACTTTCAAATACAATTGCCCAATTGTGCTCTCAAACTCAAGCTGAACTATTGAGTCAGCTTTATATTGTTTGGGTTATAGCATGTAAAAACCTCTTAATTTCAATACTGCCTAGGCCATGAATAAAATTCAGGCATTTATTACTTTCTCTGCATTTAAAACTTTGGTCTAATTACTATTTTGTTATAAATCAGCTGTAGTTTGGAAAAGCTAGTCCATTTGTTTAAATTTCAGAGATTTCTGATTGGAAGCCATTCCAAGTATATGATAAATATAGACTACTTAAAGTCTATTTTTAAAATATTTTTAGTTGGGGCAGTATTAAATTAGCTGATAACAAACTTTTTATCCCCTATGTGGCATGATGTTATAAATGCCTGATGTAACGTAGGCAAAAGAGGAAAAAGTCCTATAATTCCTTTGTGCCACTTTGCAAGTTTTCTGATTCAGCGTGTTTATGTAGAACATGGGCAAGACTCCATGCAGGACAACCATGGCTTGTGTATTCCTGGCCCAATCCATCTTGAAGTAAATCTGTAAGAAAGCCTGGTTTTGTGCTTTAAGTGTTGGCTTAGCTGTTCAGCTCACAGCTCGATGCTGTACCTCCTTCAATAGCTCATTTACTGTTTGACCTCATGCAAGTCAATTAATGGGTTTTATCCTTTTGTGAAGTAAGTATTATAATGATAGGAAACCTTAGTTAATTCTTTTCATGCCATAACCCAAGGGATGGTTACAGTTGACTGGAAATTACTAGAAAATAGTTTTGCCTTGGCTTTACAGAGAAACTCATCTCTGATCATTCATTCTCTCCCAACTACTTTAAGTGATTTAATTCATCCTGATGAAACTTGTTTTTAAGCTTAATTTAACCTAGCTATACATACTTTCAGGCCAGAAACACAGTTAGTTTACTTATTGTGAGACTGTACCTACTAAATGAACTAGAATTTGCTTATGACCTGAGTGTATGTTCCCTGTGAGAATATCTGTAGGTTGCTTCATTTACATAGAATCAGAGCAAAGGAATTGGTAATTTTTTGACATCAGTGAGTTCTTATTCATGTAACTAAGAACAAAAAGTGAGGCTTCTAGAAAGTCAGTCAGGCTTCTGGGAAGTAAGTCAGAAGCCATGGAATCATTCTGGGAAGTTTTTAAGTAAATTCAAGGATTCCAATGAAGTATCTGACTTTATTCGAGACTTGGGGCATAAAAGGGTTAATTCTGGCTAATGTCCTAATAATTAACTTTGCTAAAGAAGGAATGGTATAGTGAACATCCATGTCCCCCTCCAACCAGATTTATTGTTCTCCCCATATCTATGCATCTGTCTGTGCTTCTTGATTTGTCTTCAATCTCAACCTCTTTTGTTTAGTGCATTAGCATACTTGTTTTTAATGCATAATTACACTTTAAAAAATTTTTACTCGGAAATTTTAAAGCATTCATAAAGCAGATATACTGGTATAATGATGTTCCATGAACTCTCTACTGAGATTCACCAATTGTCAACATTTTCCAATCTTATTTTATCTCTCTTCCCATTCTTATACTTTCTTCTGGGGGTAGTTTAAAATATATAATAGGTTTCATTCACAATTAAACACCCATAAATATTTAGATACCTAGCATACAAGGATTTAATACATTATTACTTAACAAAATTCTTTGTCTACCTCCTTGTTTTTGTAAAACATTTTGCCTTGATTATCTCGAAATCCTTTTACATTGCTTTGTTTGAGTCAGGATTCCAATGATATTGTCTGTAAATTGGTTGCTCACTCCAGAAATGTGATTACAGTCCAGGCCAGGTATTTTAGCGGGACCGCATCTTGGTGGTAGTTGTAGTTATTACCCCTCCTCAGGTATCTGATCACCCTGTGGTTACTGGTCCTAAGACTGATGCCTCTAATCTAAAGTTTCAAATGCAGTTTTCACAGAATTAAGATTACTTTCTAGGTGTATTTGTTAATTTGCTCTTAAAAAATGTTGACATTCTAATTCCTTCATTTCTTTTTCATTTATTATTTGGAAGAATTTCTCCTTTCAAATACTTGGTAACTGGAATCCACTTAAGTCCCACCAAGGCAGAATGAATCCTTAATTCTAGCATCTTTACCTAATAATTGTCAGAATAGCAAGTTGTTGCTCTTTGTTGTCTCCAAAGGTTTGTTATGTATTAATTGTGGCAAAAACAAAATAGATAACTCAGAAATTATCTTACCCATTTTTAAGTGTGTACAGTTCAGTAGCATTGAGCACATTCCCATCATTGTATAGCAGATCGCTGGTACTATTTGCACCTTAGAAAACTGAAACTACAGGCATTAAACAGCTCTCCAGTTCTTCCTCTTCCAATCCCCTGAAGTCTCATTCTCCTTTCTCTATGTGAATTTGACTATTGTAGTTATCTTTATGTGTATGGAATTATGTAATTCTCTTTTTCTGACTGACTTCACTTAGCATGATGTCCTTAAGATTAATCGTGTTTGTAGCATGTGACAAGATTTACTTCCTTTTTAAGACCTTGGTTTTCATTATATTTTGCAATTTTTTCTGATGAGTTTATGGATTTTTATATGTTTGCTCTATTTCGGTATACTGCAGTCATTATTGGTGTTATATTGTGCATTTTTGTTCAGTGGTAGCACTTCAAGATAGTCCCTGAGGCCTTTTCACTTGACTCTGTAGTCTTTGATAATTTCCTTACTTTCTGCTATGACAAGGTATTCTAGACTCATATTTACATCTCTTGGTCCACACCAAGAATAGGAGGCCTGCTTCCTTTTAGTATCTAAATACAGACTAGGCAGCAGTAAAGGCCTACTTTGCTATTGTAATCTTAATTTCTATTTTAACTATAAATAGTGTTAGGACAGGGATGAACTGTTGAGATGGACATGTGATCTATTTTGTTAATCACATTTAAGAAAAATCTACACAGTGATTTAAAAACCATGACTGTATTAGAATCATTGCATGAGATTTAAAAATTCTTGATGACTGGTAAGATTGTTCACAGAGCAGTTTTATTAGGCTCTGTGGGAAAGGCACAAGCCATCTGAATTTTGCAAACCACCCTAGGGTGTCCCAGTATATAGCCAAAGTTGAGAATTTTTATATAGTAATGAAATCATAACTGAAATAAAATAAAAATTGGGAAAAAAGATACCTGGACTCTGGAAAGTTTCTTTGTCCATAATATAATAGATTCAAGACTTTTCTGGATAATCTGTCTTCTACAAACTTGGTTTAAAAATATGGAACGTCACCAGTTACCCGGCACTACAAATCTCTTGTGTATCTTCTGTTTCTGTTTTGTAGATCTGAACAAACTCCAGCCTCAGGCTTATTGAGGGAAAGATTGGACCAGGATGCTGCCACCTTGAAAGAACATAATGATTATATTAAAGAAGAGGTAGCTAAGCTATCTGAAATTTCCCCAGAAAACCTGGACCAGGGTACAATGGTTAGTAATTTTATTTTTTCTTAAATAAATTTCAAGATGTATAAGCTATTCATCTGTAGAAATAAATTTTTTATAACAGTTTATTTTTACATCATTTTGTACATGTTTTTTTTTTTTCATCTCAATTGTAATCCCCGCGAGTTTCCCATCACTGAGTCACCCGTGTGCCATCACCATAGACCTGTGCACTTCCCTCCCCCCACCCCCCTGTTTTTGATCCCATTCCCTACTCCACCCCACAAAATGTCTCTGGTATATGGCTGTTCATTATTCTTATTATTTTCTCGCCTGGTCCATTATACTCCTGCTATAAGCAAAACCATCTGGTATTTTTCTTTTTCTTTCTGGCTTATCTCACTAAGCCTGATCTTTTCCAGCTCCATCCAAATGCTGCAAAAGACATGTGGTTCTTTTTTTTTTGGTTGCTGAGTAATATTCCATTGTGTATATATACCACATCTTTTTAATCCAGTCATCTACTTTTGGGCATTTGGGCTGCTTCCTTGTTTTTCCAATTGTAAATAAAGCAGCAATAAACATGGGGGTGAAGGTATCTTTTTCAGTCAGTGTTTTTATGTCTTTTGGGTAGATACCTAGGAGTGGGATTGCTGGGTCATAGGGAAGCTCCATGTTAAGCAGTTTGAGGAACCTCCAAACAGTTTTCCATAGTGGTAATACTAGTTTTCATTCCCACCAGTAGTGCAGGAGAGTTCCTTTTTCTCCACATCCTCGCCAACATTTGTTGTTGCTAGTTGTTTGAAGATGTGCCATTCTCACTGGGGTGAGGTGGTATCTCCTTGTGGTTTTAATTTGCATCTCCCTTATTATGAGTGATGTTGAACATTTTTTCATATGTTTGTTGGCCATCTGCATTTCCTCTTTGGAGAAGTGTCTTTTTAGCTCTTCTGCCCATTTTTTGATGGGGTGTTTATTTTTGTTGAGTTTTGTCAGTTCTCCGTATATTTTTGTGATCAGTCCTTTATCACTACTTTTTTGTGAGAAAATGTTTTCCCAATTAGTGGGCTGTCTGTTTTTTGTAGTGTCTCTTTTGCTGTACAGAAGCTCTTTAACTTGATGTAGTTCCATCTATTTATCCTAGCCTTCACTATTGTGGCGTTGGGTGCTCTATCTTTATAGATGTCACTGAAGTGTATGTTGTATAGTGTTTGGCCCATCTTTGGTTCCAGGTATTTTATGGTTTCTGTTCTTATGTCTAGGTCTTTAATCCACTTCAAGTTGATTTTTGTGAATGGAGTGAGGCAGTGATCTAGTTTCTTTCTTTTTTTTTTTTTTTTTTGCATATAGCTTCCCAGTTTTCCCAGCACCATTTGCTGAACAAACTTTTTTTGTTCCATTGTACCTTCTTTGCTCCTTTGTCAAAAATTAGCTGTCCATAAACTTATGGGTTTATATCTGGTTTTTCTATTTGAATCCACTGGTCTGTATGTCTATTCTTATTCCAGTACCATGCAGTTTTGATTATTATGGCTTTGTAGTATAGCTTGAAGTTTGGGATTGTAATTTTTGTTTTTTCCATTTTTTTTTTCTTAGACATGAGGGTTTTGGCTATTCGAGGTCTTTCGTTGCTCCATATGAATCTCTAACATTTTTTCTATTTGTAGAAATAAATTCTTAACAATGATGAATATTTGTGAAAAAAATATAACAAGTGAGACTTTGTGGTTTGTTTGCTTTAACTTTCTGATCTCAGACCTTTTACTGAATGTTTTATATAATAATCTTAACTTATTATATGAAATTAAATCAGGTTATAGAGTCACCTAATTAAATATATCTACCATAGCATTTACTGAGAAACTTAGGAGCCTCTTGTAGCATTCAGGTTTTTTTCTCTACTTTATACTTTATGAATGCTGTATGTCATTCATGTCAATTTAGCAAATATATAGTGATCCATTTCTCTACCAACCCAGATCCATTACAAGTAAGGGAGTAAATCAGATGTGCACCCCACTCATTTCTGGAGTGTGGCATAGTGGGAACTGTGTAAGAAGAAAATGGCAACAGGTATGGAGCCTTAGAAAAAGAAACAAAATTATTGTATTTAGAAGGGCAGTGAGATTTATTTTATTTATGCATACAAGAGCTGGGGTATAGGCCAAAGGTATAAGGTAGAGGATTCACCAGAGACAGAGTGGGGAACAGAACAGGCATATGGACTGGGATCCACTGCTGAGGAGAGCATCGGATGAGACAGGGAGGTCTGCTGCCATGTGGACTTCGTGATGGAAGGATTAAAGGGGGATGTAAGGTGAACCTTGAAAGACACACAAGTTTTTGACAGCAAAAAGTACAAGTGGGGTGGAGGACGGGACATGTGGAAGTGTCATTATGAAATGAAAAGCAGACCTGGAAAGCCAACAGTATCCAGGAACCAGAATCTTTATGACTAGTGTGGGCTCCAGACCAGGAAGATAGCAGTAAAGTCAATGGTAATGACCAGCCCTGTTCTCCAGGATCCAGTCAAGGCAAAGCAGTTTGTACTTAGTTGAGTAGATTCTGAAAAGCCACTCAAGCTTTTTGATCAGGACTATTGTAAGATTTCTGCAGCACCTAAGGGAAATTCATCTGCTTAGATTAGCAAGGAGACTGCAAGGGAGGGATCCCTGCATTGGTTCAGACAAGACAAGGAGGGGCCTGACTGAGGAACTGGTGCAGAGTGTAAAGGTGCTGAACAGAAATTAGAAACTGATGGAGCAAATTCCAAAAGAGAGCCACAAGGGAAGAACTGAGAAGCCCAGGTCTAGTCTTAGTGATTCTCTGGAAAATCTTATATTCAGAGAGTTGAACTTTCATCTCCAACATATAATACTTTATGAACTTGTCTAGTTTCAAAGTATCTTTTTTCATCCTTAAATACAATCTGGGTTTTCTGGCTTTGATCCTTTTTAAGTTTTGTTTTTTTTTTTAACATAGATATAGGCCACGTGACCCACCTGGAGGGGAGCCTTACAACCTCTGTATCAAGGTCGGACAATGCAGTCCACTCACCCTTCATGCATTTCTGAGTAACTTTGATGCTTCTAGAGCATGCCACATCCCCACTTTTCCTTGCTCCCTTAATTAAAAGGGAAAAGGATTTTTTAAAAATATTTCAAACATACAAACATACATTGCTGTCATGGGCAATCCATGCCTACCAACATAAATTCACACCTGTTGTTACCTTCATACCACATTTGCATCAGACCTCTCTCTTCATCCCCTCTTCCTCTTTCCTCTATTTTTCTACCCACTCTTTTTACTTCCCCACCCCCATCTCATCTCCTCTCTCTCTTTCCCTTTCACTCACATTCTCTCCTTTCCGTCTTTTATCCCAGCTCTCCCCTCCCTCCCCTTCCTTCTTCTGAAAGAAATTATTGTAGATACAATAATGTGCCTCTCATGGATCCCATGCCCCTTTTCAGAGATACTATATATATGTATCCTTCCCACATATATTTTCACTTAACTACATTATATGTGACCCAATAAATAGTCTTGTATTGTTTGATGTATATTATGTATGTAAATATTCTTTAAGAAAGAACAGTTGGGCCCTCCCTGGTGGTGCAGAACTAAGAAGCTAAAGCCACTTCAGCATGAGTTCGATCCTCGCCCTGGAGGTGACCCACATGGCACAGCAGACCTCTTCTGACCTGCCCGCTGCTCCCCTCAACAGTGTACTTCATCAGTCTGCCTGTTCTGCTCCCCTCTCTGTCTCTGGTGAAGCCTCTCACTGCCCCTGCACCCTGGCCTGCACACTAGTTCTGTATGCACAAATAAATAAATCTTTAAAAACAAAAAAAAGAACAATTTTCTTTAAGAAAAACAGAACCTGTGATATTTTTAGGTCCATTCGTTATTTGTTGATACATGTGAGTCTTAGGAAGGAGTTTGGTTTTGTTTTGTTTTGTTTTATTTTTTGGTTTTGGTTTTATTGTCCATTTAATTTACTACTATCTTGCAACATTGTTTTCCATTCTAGTTCACTGCAAGTTCAGGGTATCAGCCATGTAAAGGGTAAAATAGGTGCTGGTTGACTGCTTTTTGCTGTCTAATCACCTTTTTAAGGGGTTCTTTATATTAGAGAACATATTCCATGTTCTGGACAGCCAGTCCACTCATATGTTTCAATAATATCTCCATTATTAACAGGAAGGTGGCTGTCCAGTTAATAACTTCCAAATCAAAACTCCCTTGTAGTTTTGTTCTTCCCTTTTAAATAATAATGATCTTATTTTGGTGACAGTCATAAACATTACCAATAAATTAATAACAACAAAAAAAAACACTCCTTAAAAATGGAGTAAGCAGGCAGTTTCTCCATAGTTAGGTTGAGAATGAAGAGCCACAGAGGCCTAAAGGACAATGTCACCAAAAGGCAGAGCAGCCCTTTCATGCTTTTGAACAATATCCTTTTTTGCTTCTAGGGCTATGCATCATCCATTTGTACTTAGCAAAAATATATACATTTAATATGTAATATAAGTTAACTATGTTTCTGTAGATAACAATCTTAAAAGGAAGAGATTTTCAAATTTTAAGAATACTCTACTAGAAATTATTTGGTTAAGAGTTGAATGAAGCTCAGAAATATTTACTTTGATCTCTTGGGTAAATGACTAATTAAACAGGCCCATGTAAATGATGTTTACCTGTGGGTTCCCTTGCTGTCAGTTGGAGTCAATCTTGTCTCAAGTAAATATATCATTAAAGCCACAGAAACTCAGATTAAGTCCCCTTGAGACCCGATAAGGTCCTTAGCACCCAAATAACCTACTAGGTAATTACATAATTGAGCTACCTGCTTTTAAATTGGAAAAACTTATAATTACTTCATGTGAAAAAAAAAATGAGCTGGGTGCTTCATAAAATACAAAGTGCCTTAATTCTCCTTTTCTCTTAAGTGAAGTCTGTTTCTATTCAGGAAAACTCCACACAAAGCAGAGCAGCTTGCTGGTTTCACTCACAGTGTAGGACTGTCTAGTCACTTATCA